TATGGCTGATCCATACTTTTGTAATTTATGTTGTTAGCATTATTTATATCTTGTCTGTACATAACTGTGATGTATTAAATCTGCTTTAAAAACTGAATAAAAATGAAAGGAAACCTTGTAAAAAAGTGAGCTCAAACAAAAACGCAGAAGCATTAATAGATCCTACCAAAGATATTTAGCTGTGTTATATATCTAAAGGATTAATAAATCCATTCATATTCCAGAAATTGTTTTACACGGGAGGTCGTCTCTAATGTCAGCTCACACAGAGGACACATCCATCATGGAAAACAACTTTCAACTCACACTTCCTCCAGAGCTGGGAGTAAACAGTGAAAATGCACTGAGCAAATATTCAAATCAAGGGATGTTCTTGTTCTCACAGCCGTCAATGACTAGTTTATACGCAAAAGTCACAGAATATGAATCTCTGACCTTCTCTGGGCTACAATTTTGACAAATTTGTATATACAAAAAAATCTAAATTTATAGATGTTACACCTTGTATGAAAAATTGCTAAATTTCTGAGATCTTTGGCCTCCCCTGTCTGAGTTTTGGTGAAACTACACCAGGACCTTGTTAAAGGCAGACAGAAATGGTGAACAATTAAAAAAAAAAAAGGAGAGAGATATTTTATTAAGCTTTAAGGTATGAGGCACAACCAATCATTAGATGTGCAAAAGGAATCAATAAAAAACAGTTTTTCATCCATGTGAGTTGAGCCACAGCAAAGAGGCAGAGTGTGCTTTGCTATGTTTAAGTAAATGTTATTTTTCTTTTAAAACAAGAAAAATTAAAGATATGCACACAGATACAACTTTATAGCTTAAGGGAAATTAATATTACATCATGTCTAATTTCTTTCACATTCAAAACTGCAAACATTTTTAACAAAGCCATCTGGCTCATTTTAGATTAATTTAGAATATATATTTATTTTTCTGTACCAGCTCATTTAGAAAGCCCCGTGCTGCTTTTGCTGCTCAAAGTTGGCACTTTTAAACATTTTTGTAGCCAATGTAAGCAACAATAAGGAGCAAAGAAGTGCTGCTAAGCACGGATTTTTAACTCCCTCCATGTTTATATATATATATATATATATATATTCAATACGTTTGTTTTTAGACATTTAACTATGAAGCCATGCAGGCTGCATAATGAAGATAGATATGCCTGAGATCATCTTGTTTTCTCCCCAAACAACTTTATACATGTGATAAAAATGGTTTTAGGATAAAACGGCAGCAAGATCAAGGTGTTATTGGCTTATTTATCATTATTAATATTCAGAATTAAGGCATGGGCTGATCTGAGATCCACAGAGTGTAAATGAAACCATTCTTTGGCTAACTTTTAGTTAATCCATGCTACGTACAGTTGGAAAAAACTCAGATCACACCAGGATTTTCTCTCAGGAATCTAGGAAGGGAACGTTTTTTAAAACCAAGAATTTTCATAAAACTTTGGCACACCCTGATGTGTCCTTTGCAAGGACATAAATGGATTTATAACCCACACACAAACCTTTTAAAGGTCACACACAGTTGTCTGTTAATCGCTCTGCACATATGGTGCATTTAATGTAAACTGGAAAATTTAAATATGCGACGCTGGGCAGAGAGAATAAGAACAGGAGGAGTTTTCAGAGTCGGATCAGGTAAAGGTTCATCAGCTTTGACTTCTGAAGTTCACGGACGATTTACCAAACACCCGGGAGCAAATGAATATCCAGTCTGTCCGTCCAAACAAACCTGACTGGAAGTAACTTTTCTATTACAAAGCAGGGCGGCGTTTTCTGACAGATTGAATATGCTCGATTTCCTCATGTAAAGTCAAATCTTCCAATCATAAATCTTTAGGTTTAGACTCTTTTGTTGAAAAACCTACTTCTCAGGAAGAGAAAGCTTCACTTGAGCACAAACTGATGATGAACGAACCTCTAAACTGAAGAAGGGATAAGATGTAGATGTTTGCATAATGAAATCGAAATACTTCATGTCTTACTTTTCGCTAATTCCACATGGAGTTTATGTAGATCAGTGCAAAAAAAAAAAATAAAAAGTAAAAAAATGCATCAGTGTTATCTTCAGAATATTACTGTGCGTGTAAGTGTCAATAATTTATATGTAAATCCAAACTCACCTCTAACTCAAATGTCTGGGCTTCATTTCCCGACGACGAAGACACAAACAGCAAAAGGAAAAACATTTCTGTCATTCTGAGAGTTTGTTTTCCAGGTTTTATTTACAAATAATATTATTAAATAGTAAATGAATGTAGACGTTAAGGACAACAGTGAAATTTGTCACTACAGCCAAAAACACCAATTTGTTACTGACAATTAGAAACTGATTTAAGTTGCAACATCCTAACAGCATGAGAGCATCTCATTTGATTTTACTGTTTTGCGAATGTAACATATTTATTTATTGTGGTTTAAAGTCTGAGTCTGATAGAAAGCAAACATGGTGGACAACAACAAAAAAAAAATAGATAAATGCATCTGCTCTTAAACTGTTCAGATCTGGTGTTAATGATTATAATAATGGTTTTATATTCAGTTTTACTTTGATTAGTTGTTTGCTGAGATAATTAGTTACATTTTAACCAGGATAAAAGTAACATTTCCACACACAAAAAATCAATTTACAAAAAAAATTATATTGCTTTAAGATGACCAGATGAAATTTTAAGGAGTTTAAACTAATTTATTTTGTGCTTCTTTTTTTCTTTTGGAAACAAGGCAGCAGAGTGACTGGAGTCTGAAATCAGCTCTGCTCAATATTAGTTTCCACTGCAGCTGCAGATCCATTTAGAGCCGACTGATCAACACAAATAAACCGATTCATATTTCAGATGCGACACCCAGGATTTTTCAGAGGTCAAAGTGATTTTGAACCATGCAGAGTGTTGCAATTACATCTCTGAAGTGCTTTATGAGCAGGAAGCCGCGTTCCTGAAACTTTGAAGATGTTTCTGCTCTTTTACTTGAAGTGAGAGCAGCGTCATCAGGCAGCACTCTCTTGAGGAGTTAAGGCACAGATATACAGAGAAGAAACTTTTATGGTAAATTTTTTTTTTTTTAGCTTTTTTTTTTTTTTTTAGCAGGAAGGGCATTTTCCCAAAAAGCCACGAGCTAGACGACTGTTGTGTGTGCATGCGTTCAGGCCGTTACCACAGAAACTACTTGACAACATATATGCCTGTCCTCTCAGATGGACGCATCCTGACCCCTCTGGCTTTGCTGTCTGTCGTACGTTTATGTGGACAATATTGGCAGCTTGCATGTTTAAAAGGAACACAAATTTTCTCAGAGAGGAACACCAACCTTATAGGACTTTAAAGATTTAAAATATATATTTCTAATGTGCATTGTTTTAAAATCAAAATTTCAGACATTTTGCTTACTGAAACTAAAGCAGGGAAACGTATCGATTGAAGCAGCTTTATTGGGAACCGGTCAATACTGGAATACAGTTTATGTGAGCAGAGAGAACAGGAGAGAATTACAAAGATAAAAGAACGATGGCACAAGCCAAATGACACACAATGACATAGTTGAATCAAATCTTTTGCATTCACTGTATAAAACGTTTCCCCCCCTCACTGTCAGAAATGATCCTGTTTAAGGTTCGTTACGGTTCACAAAATTGTTTTATGTACTAAATTCCAGAATGATGAAAGTGTTTAGCACTTTCTTCAAAATCACAAGTTCACGTGCACTAAGATTCCTACGACTTAAGGATTCAAGAAAGCTCAAATGATGAGGATGTCATGGCTTTGTAAGTTTCATCTTTGGGCATCACATTCATCTGTTCAAACTACTATATAGTAGTTTGAACCTTTACCTGTTTAGCAAGAACATATAGTAGGAATGTCCAGGCAGCACAATGTTCAGGAACAAAACGGGTTTCTTTGTCTCGGAGTTGAAAATGTTTTGATAAACCCCTGAACAAAAGCTCAACATCTGGTGAAGATGCAGGTAAGAGTACCAACATTGGCTTAAAAACCGCACAGAGGAAGAAGAACATTAAAAGCCATATTAGTTGCTATACGCACTCAGAGACAAAGTCCTTAACTTCTGGAGACATGTTGTGTGATTTAAAATCAAGGTTTCACTCAAGTCTCGTAGAAGAAATTTGTGGCAGAGCTGAAAAGGGGCTCGTGAACGAGATGACCTACAAACCCGAGTCACGCCAGTTCTGAGAAGCTTATTAAAAAAAGGTTGACCCCAAGTCATAAGATCTAAAAGGCAATGCTATCAAATACTAAAAATAAATGTATGTAAACTTCTGAATTTGAAAAAAGTTCAGCAAAAGCCCAGCCTGGTAAAGGTCAGACCGTTTGCTTCCTGTAGAGGTTCTGGATCCTCGACTGCTGAGAAAATTAACAAAAGCCTCCCTGTCATTATTCTGGCTTCTAGTGAGTAGAAATTAATTTTTATAATCCTTACAAATCTAAAACTGACATTTTTATACAGTGTATGTAAAAAAAAAAAAAAAGTAACTACATATCATTGTATGTCATTTGAATCTGAAGCATTTCATGTTATGAATTTAGTTCAAAAGGTTTAAGTGATGAATTATGAACATGAACGGTTCAGTTTTAACTGGCGGGGAACTGAACCCGGAACTGGTCTCGGTAAGAATGAACTTCAAAACCATAATTTAACACCATGTGTGACAGGCTGTTTGGAGAAAAAAAAAAAAAAGAAGAGAAGAACTGGAGCTGCAGTGAAATTTATATTCCCATGAGAAGCTCTGAGGCAACAAAAATATTATTGACTTCAAAATTCAATCAAGTCGGAGCATAAAAAATGATATCTAGCCTGTCGGGCGATGACATCTAGACGTCAAATTGAGTAAAATATCTGGTACTTTTTAATATTTTATTATTTGGACAACGTTCAAAGACAGTTTTAGGATCACTTAAGATTACTCTCCCCGGTTATGTTCCTCACTTCGTCTCTTCGTTTTACGCCGCCGCAGAGGAAGGAGACGGAGACTCGTGGCAGATTCTGGCTTGTTATTAACGAAGCAGATCTGTGATTTAACGGTTGACTCGTCCCTTTCAGGTGATGGGAGAGAATCGGAGTGGATAAAGTGAAAGACTCTCGGTACAGATCGGAGCCCATTAGACGGCAGACATTACCGTGACACACAGACGCAATGTTTTGTTTTGGTTTTTTTGTTCTTTTTTTTTTTTTCCTGAACAAGCACGCATGCTGAGCAGACTGAATAAATAAAAACATACAGACACACACAGTGAAGGAACCTGCTTGTTGCATAAGATTAAAAAATAGACTTTCTGTTCCAGTGCAAATGTCACCGTCTTCCGATCAGTTTAGTCTTGCCTCTCCAGAGACAGAAATATCGCCCCCGTCTGCGGAGGAGAGGTTAGTGCAATCTGAACCAGGCAGGCTGGACGGATAAAAGTATCACACTCCTCAGACTGTAAGGAGGAACAACGAATGTGTGTAGCCCACCTGCTGCGAGGTTTGTGTTTGTGCATGGGTGCGACCTACTAAGTATCCGGAGCGAAAGAGTTAATTTGGAGGGATTTTCTTCTTGAAATTTTGACAAGAAGAAGAAAAAAGAAAAAAAAACAAAAACAAAAAGAACAGCTCATCCTCAAAAGTCGATGCATTTCTTTTTAGATCCCACAACACAAAAACGGGTCATCTTCAAACGGCACACAGAAGAGCTATGAGTGGAAATCATTCAGCATGCCGGGCAGCGGCGGGTTCCAGACTCCTGAGGTGAACTTGATCTTCGCTGCAGTGTGTGTGTGCTACCTGCGAGAAAAGGCTGCGTTTGCTTGCCGGCATCCTTTTTTTTTTTGTTTATTTGTTTGTTTCTTGTGGATGAGCTTTAGGTTGGATCTTTGCAGGTCGGAGCTGTGTTCGGGAAGGGGGTGGGGGGGTTTACTTGCAGATCGCTTCTAGAGCATCCAGGGTGCGTTTGATGTCACGGATCTGAGCCGCCAGCGTGTGGATGGGCTGCATGGAGCGATCCAGCTCCTCGCAACGAGCCATTAGTGTATACATGCCCTGGAGGAACAAACAGAGACATAAAGAAATGAACAACGTTGTGTCTAAAAGTACAGAGCTGGGAAACAATCTGTGTCCCTTACGCTTCATATTTTGTCACATTGTCATCACAAACTTTACATCACATTTTTCAAAAAATTCCATAATTTTCCAAGTTCTTCACTTTCACCTTAAAATATAAAATACAAAAAAAATAATAATACAAAAGGGAGGGAGGGAAAAAGAGGAGGTAACACAGGACATAAGAAAAGGAAGAAAGGGAAGACAGTAGGAAGAGAAGGAAGGACAAATGAAACACATTCAGATAACAGGATATAGAATAAAGCAAAATGAGAATAAAATACAAGTTTGTGATTACAACAATGTAGCAAACTGGAACAAGTTACAATTGAGAAAATGCAGAACACTTTAAACTTCTGAAGCTTAGAGGATATGAAGATCCAGTGGCACCTACAGTTCATTAAGGACTCAGTTTTCAATTTAAACAGATTTTGTTACAATTAACCCACTCAAAATGAAATGATAATCCACCAAGAATCCACTAATCCTTTCTAAATCAGTTCCACACATTTATAAAGACGAGTCACATTCCACGTTTCACCTTTATGCTCATGTCTACAGACTCTCCCAGGCTGTCCACGGAGTCTCTGTAGGTCTGGATGTAGCCAACGCTCAGAGCCGTCATCTGTAGAAATAAGAGTCGGACAGGCAGAAGCGACAGTGAGAAAACAGTACGGCGCACAGAGATTCTGTGTGGCAGGAGGAGAAGAAAGCTGAATGGACATGAGCACCGTCCCTATAAATGATCCGGTAGCAAGCGTGATTCAGTGCAACACACAAACTAAAACGGCCATTGGAGCGTGGCGCCAGCTCACATTCTGGATGGTCCCGTTGAGGCTCTTCATCATCATCTCCACGCTGTGGGCCACCTCCTGGGTGTGTCTCTGGAGGTCCAACAGAACTGTGGGGTCGATCGGCGGGATGTCCGCTGGTCTCCGTGACAACCCTCGGCTTCGGTAGATTGGACCCGAGCAGTCAGCTGCAGTGTAAAACATCATGAAATTAGGCAATTGTACGCAACAACAAAAGGGATACACATATTCTCTTGGTTGGATGAGTAAAGGTTTAAAATCAACTGATGGCGCCGGCACACCGACGACATAAGGATTATATTTGTAGAAGAACATCGTGTCAAAACATGTCAGAATACAGAAGTCGTCGGAGGTCAGCGGATCTGAAATAAATAAATAAAAGGTGACAGCTTCTTTCATCCCGGCAGCAGCAGGACTTTAATAGTAAATCCTCCTAGTCTAAACAAAGTGAGTCATCCATCTTAATTGAATCAGCAGGTAGAGGGAATGAGCTGCCACACAGGGGATATTGACTGTGTCGCTGCGCCTAAATTAAATGGCTGCTTTAGCCGTCACTCTCATCCGGGAGGAGTCTGAGAGCGAGGAGCGGCGCCGCGGCGTGTTCCTCCGTGAAATTTAAACATGTCAGGCTTCTGCTAATGGACCATCTACATTAGGCCAGGCTGAAAAACTTCAAAGGACTGATTTATTCCCGGGATTAGATTTACACATGTCGCCTCACAGCTCTACGGCAGGCCAAACGCCGACAGTCATCCACCGATGTCATCCATCACAATGCCTGGCAAAAGTGTTCACACCTTGTGACGTTTTCCAAATTTGAATTAAACTTATTTAACAGAGATTATGGGCGACAGACCGACACACATGCTTAGGTAATTGCAAAATAGACAATAGTTTCTACATGTCATCTTACTTTTTTTTTTTTTTTTATCTATATGGGACTGCAACTAACAATTATTTTGGTTATCAATTAATCAATTTTGGCGATTAATCAAATATAAAAGTTTGCACATTCTGCCAAATTCTGATCCTTTGTAGCAAATGATGCATATTGAGAAAAAAAAAAAAATCCTTCGAACATCAACATATTACAAAAGCTCAGTCGCAAAATAGGAAAAAGCTGATTTGTTGACTAGTTTTTTGATTGATCAATTAATAATTGGATAACAAAAGGTTCATTAATAGGAGATTTATTTATTTTTCCCCACAGATTTTAAGCCAAGTGAAGCTAAAACGATGCCACTTTAGTTCTGGGTAGTGCATATTTACAAAGTTTTTTTTTTCCATCTTAAATACAAAATGTGTATATTTTCTGTAAATATACACATTTTGTGTATCTGTGTTGTTCTTTCAGCAAACAGCCTTTTTAAGTTGACTATTAAATTGGTTAATTATTTCAATAATCGATTCACCATGATTAATCTTATCAAATCAATATAAATCAAATAATTCCCACAGCATGATGCTGCACTGATGCAACACAAAGTGCTGCGCAGCTGTAAAAGGAAAGTGGAAGGAAAATGATGTTCAGTTCTCAACTTGTATACAATTAAGTGAGCTGTGCAGTTGTCTTTAGCCCCCTTTACTCCAATTCCCTAAAATGCAGCCTTATCAACTTCCTTTTGAAGCCATCCAATGGGTAAATACACCTGTGTGGAATTTAATCTCAGGATAAATATAGCTTCATATGTTTCTTAGAACCTTGCTAACATAGGTTCAATCTGGACGTGTCTCAGGGCGTCGTCTTTAAAAACGGTTTAGTGAAATTCCATTTTTTTTAGCTCTTAAATGATGTTAATGAAACAAGAGAAATGGAGTTTTTAGAATTTCACGCACAATCACTGCAGTCCAGGCTGGGCTTGGAGCTCATTTTGATCTTCTGCTCCAGGTTCTTTGTGATGAAGTTGGTGAGGTCTCCTTCATGGCTGACCGTCCCTTCCAGCTCCAGAGCCGAGGAGATGGTGGCCCTTCGGCCCTCTGACTGCCCGCTTCTGCCACCTCCTCTGGCTCCTGGACCACCTGGGGGGTAAAAAAAAAGCACAAAAGAAAAACAGTATGAAAAATTACAGAAAGCACCAGACACTACATGTAATCCAAACTGCGACTGAAACGTACCTCCGCAGGCTTGACTGATTTCATCCAGGCTCTTGCTGTCCTGCATCCCCCGGTTGTTCCGAACCCAAACCTGGGCCATGACGTGGGGAGGGCATGGGGTGTCGTCTGAGGTGAGAAGAGCAGGTTGAGGAGTAGAAGAAGAGGAGGTGGTACTGGGACCGGGGGCTGAAGAGGAGTAGTGTTGCGAGGGCTGCAGAAACGGGTAAGAACGGGTAGGAACTGATAAATGGTGATAATAAAAACTGGATTCTGAGACCAGTCTGTAAATCTCAACTCCTATTGGCTCAGCTACATTGTTTTTGTCCTTAATCCTACTAACCACTTACCTCCTTCTTTGCCCTTCCTCCAGTGTTCCTCCACCTGTTCTCGTTCTTCTCGTCCGTCTCCATATCCTGCTTCTCTTTCTCTCCGTCCTCATCTTCCTCTCTCCTGTCGAGCCTTCTCTCTTCACTCTCAGCCTCTGTCGGGTGTCTTTCTGCAATGTCAGGGCCTCCCTGCTGACATACTTCTGTGGCCTCTGCATGCGGTGCTGAATCCCACATGAGAACCAGATCCTCGGCCTTCGATCCCTCAGGAATGTCTGTGTCTTTGGATTCGGAGTTTCCTGTTTCTGCGTCATCATGAAAAGAGAGGTCTACCACCTGGGGACCATGTAATGATAAGCTAGATGTTCTCTCGTGAAGATCTGTCTCAGTGTCTAAGTTGCTTTCTGCAGCGTTCAGTCTGTTTGCCGTGTCAACGTGGTTCTCGGTTCTCCCGTCCATCGACTCCGCTCCGTCATCGGGTAACCTGCTCCCGCCGTGTTTTACCGAGACCGGCGCGTGAGGGCCGTTCTCCAGAGAGACGGGCGTCGCCACCCCATTAGCTGCTTCTGGCACTTCTGTGCCAATAACAGGGGAGAGACTCATCCCTCCCTCTGCTGGTGAAAACAAGAAAAAAGGTACTAAAATCCTACATAAGGAAAGACTCTGCTTTTAAAAAAGCAATCAAGGGGATTTCAATGCTCTAATGTTACTCTATCAACTGTATAAACACCAATTGCCTTGAATAAAAATGAATGCTTACTTGCATTTTTCATATTTGCCAAAAACAGAACATGAACTTATAGAAATATAGTCTGATAGTAGAAAAGCAACTTGACTGGAATAAAAAAAATGTAGCAGAAATAAGAGTTTTATTCGGAAAATTGGACAGAAGCAAGCAGTAATTATAGTTTTCAATAATTGTACAATATATATCCTTCATAGAATATTTGATAGGGAAACTTTTGTAGTTGATCTGTGGAAGTCTGAAGTTTGTTTCTGTTAACTACGTGACAGAACATTCATTTGGATAAATTCTGAGAAAACAAATTAGCTTTAAGGAAAGAACTAAGTTGTGATGGTTCTTTATTTCTTCAGCACAAAAAAATGTTCTGAATCAAGTCTCAGATCCCAGAACCACGACAGGCTAAATTGTACCGCAAACCAGCACTGCTTCAGAACGAAACTTCAGTCTTATAGCAGTTTTACAAATAAGTGAATAACAAGCTTAGCCATGAAGATGGAGTTAGAAAAAATATTGTTTGGACGGAGTTTTTCTTTTAAAGAGACAATGAAGTGATAAAGTGCTCCTACAGGATATTCTGATAACGATGACAAATACCTTATGTGGTTTCTTATTAGGAGCAACATGGGGTTTCCTGTCAACAAAATAAATTTAAGTGGCTCCTAATCACCTTGTAATCCTCCTACTCTTGTATCAGCGCTCCATCAAAAATATTTTTGAAAACTCAGGTTTGGATCATTTTGAAAATGACAAGTAGTTCCCCCCAGTTGTTCTAACTTTGAAAAAATACCAAACGAACATTTCAGTTTCCACAGCTGCGTGCGGGAACCATGTGATCTTGCTCCTTGAAAGGAAGTAAACAAGCAAAGTCAGTAAAAAAAATAATAAAAAAAAAATCTACACGTCAGGATTATGACAGAGAGGGCTGTGTCACTGCATTTAAATGCTGCAGGTCAAGATCAGATGACCCACTATTTAATTCATAGTCCCTAAACATGTCCCCGAGTTTCTACACACGTTTTAAATCCAGACGTTAACATTAACCAAAACTGCAGACTCCTGACAGCCACTTAATACACTAACATATTAACGCTAAAATAACTGGTGCTCATTAAACCAAATTGGTGTTATAATTGTATTTGTTTTACCAAACTACGAAGCTTAAGGACTTGCCATGACACACAAAGTGAGATATAAAGGGAACGAGTCTACCGTTGGTCATCGGTGAGGAAGTAGCTGCGCTGCTGTTTTGATGCGGCTAACATTAGCTGCTAAGGCCTCCGACTCACAAACCTGAGCAAACCTGATTTGGTTCAACTGAAACCGTTACAAAGCGGGACTTATTTTAGCCTAATATTCAGACTCATTTCGTAAATGCATCAGTTAGCGACGCCACAGGCCCCAATTTATCGAAAGAAACACTCACCAGAGCAGTTTCTATCTTGTAAGATGTAAGCAACAACCGAGTCCGATCAATATATTGTTCCCCACAACTCCCCAAAGAACCGTTCCGCTTCGCGAAACCTTTCAGGGCATCACATAAAAACAACAATTACCTTTTAAACATTGCCATGTAAATGTAAACAATAACTCAGAAAATGAATTATTCATACTTTTTAGAGTTATGTTTAACAATAATTAAATCCGTTTGATGTTCTAGAAAACCATCCAATAAGTCTGCAATCTGTAATCAAACTTAAATCAAATGCCTACACCAGAAACATAGCACATTGTTATGTTTATTTTTAACAATGTGCACCACTAATTTTACAAACATCGTCTTATTTATGTTATTTATTTCTGGGTGAAAAATGTATGCTGTATTTACCACAATTTTCCCAACAGATGGAGACAAACACCAGGGGCCCCTCAGGCTGCTGGCTCTGTTGTGGTGCCAAATGAGAAAAAGCAGAACTGAGATCTCTAGTGTTCTGTTGCTGACTCTGTACGTTTGTTCTCTGAATGGATGAATAGAAATTTATATTTAAAAATATAAACTCTCAAATTATACCAAGATCATATAGGTAAAAAATGAAATAGTTGTTATCATATACACTGAACTGGCAGGGCCTGAAAAGGTACTTGGTATGTGGAGCTTAAAACAAAAGCAAACAGATTATTAAACTTAATATCCTTTGAAAAATGTGCCTTTCCTTTGTTGGACTTATTGTACAAAAGTCCACCACAGCTATATTCCTACTTCAGTGAATTCAAAACCAGTTAGTTTATTTTCTTAGTCTCTACAATCTTATACAATCAGGATTTTGGTGTTTGCTTTTCACAGTTCTTTCCAATCAGAAAACTAGATAAATATTTGGCAAAAATCAGGTTTTAACCATTTAAGAACCATCAAAAATGTGAAATTGTATCTCCCATGTGAAGACCAAGGGGAAGTTATGCATGCTTTCTTAATGTCTTGTCTACACATGATGCTATTTTTTTTTTCTCTCAGGACCAAAAATCCTGTCTGCAGTGTTTGCACTCTGATCTGAATCCAGCTGAATACCTGGGACTAATAGGCGTGATCACAAAACTCTGTCTTATCGCCTCTGCCCTTGCTGCTGGTTCACTTGACTTAAAAGTTTTATAACTAACTTTTTGACTTTTAAATAATTTAGGCTTATTATGCTTAACTGGACACTGACCATCACACTTTCTCATTTTCTTGTATGTTCTAATATCCAAAATGTAAAAAATATTAAGATTAAGAATTTGTTAGAGCTTCCCTAAAAGCTTTCATAGTTTATCACTTCATATATTCACTGCACAAACTTCACAACTTTTAAATTTTTAAGGGACTTTTCAAGGATTCTGTGGTTTGCTGAATCCTTGAACATGGGCAACTGATTTTGTTGTCGTCTACTTACTACGTTCCATACAATACAAAGACTGATTTCAAACATTTTTTAGCCCTCTTTTACCCTTTATCAGATGCAAAAGCTAATATAATATGTATATTTTTCTTTTAAGCAGGTCTTTTGATTTTGCCAGTGTTCATTCTCTCTTCAACAACCACCAAACAAAATGTCGGAGGTTTTAACAGATCATGCTCGAATCACGTCCACCCGATGTGACACACGTCTGTGATTTTCCCCATGTGAAGAGAGAATGAGCGTAGGATACAGGGTCCTAATTTATTCCTCACCAGAAAAAAACAAACATTTTCATTACATTTTACAGAAAGTTATTTGCTTTTATTGATTGAGTTTTGTTTTTGTCTTTTTACAGTAATGAGAACATTTGTCCAAATATGTTAGACAAACATGCTGTTGTAAGCTGTCCTAATACCTTCATATAACTGCAACCCACTCACATTTAAACAGGCACCATATGTACAAAAGGTGTGCCTTGGTGAAATGTGCATGTTTGAGTCTGTCTCACAACACCCAGTATTTTTGCTTTCACACTGTCATTTTGGGAATGAGTCTATAACTTATTTCAAATGACAGTGAAATAACCTGCCAGGAGGCCTTGAAATAATGAGAAGATATTGGTTTGGTCTGTGTGCCTCCACAGTGGAAATAAAGCCAGTGTCTTGTGGCTTTATTTAAAAAATAAAACTTTGAATGGCAAACCCCTGCAGCAGAGGAGAGAGGACTGAAAAAACCCACAGTGCAGCCACATCTAAAGATCTTGTAAAATAACTAATCCACCTCATCCATCCAGGCCAGCTGCACCCTCAGTGGGGATTCAGCAGTTTTATCCCATTTGCTGCTTCTCCATCTGCAACACACATCAAAGCTGAAGAAATCTACCTAAAGACACTCAAGTTTAGGAAATAAGCTTTTGTTCCAGAGCACCCCTACAGAGTGCTCCATTACTTAATTCTGCTTCCCCTTTTGGGATTTGACAGTAGAAGGGAAGCAACTTTAACAGAATTTTTTTTCCGTTACCCACATGAGACGCAGCAGTTAACACCAGGAGGTATATGAAGCAAATTGAGAGCATGTGGCTTCATACAAGACGTGGTTTTTCATTATAGAAGTTGGAGACTGCACGTTTTACGTCGGTGGCCAAAATGACAGTAAACGACCGTAAATAAGCAAACCACTAATCCTGGCTGTTAATTCTCTCCAAGCTCGAAGGCGAGACTTCTCGTGACCTGAACTCGATGTGCTGTTTCAATTAAACAAATGTAGCAAATGGCGCCCTCTCAGCAACGCACAGCATAGTAAAAACTGACGCTGCAAAAGTCGGTCTTCATCGTTCCCTGACTCAACATGAACGCCACTGATTGCACGTCTTGAAAGACGCTCAGGTATTCATGAAAACGGAGAGAGGAAAGCTGCTCGAGATGTTTTCCAAACCAAGAACTCAACATTTGATGTTGGTCTCGGGGAAAAAATTGTTTTTGGATTCATGTTTAAAAGGCTGTTGTGGTTTGTGTTCAGAGAAACGTTAAAAAAATAAAAAATACATCCAGTGGTTTTACAGAGGAAGGGGGATAATTAAAAGTTTGCAAAGGCGATCGGTTTCCAAAGGCCTTGATATAATCGCCAATGGAGCTATGGTTGAAGAGACCTTACTGTAGAAACCATTTTGGGCAGCAAGCAATAAAATTCAGTTTTAAACATTTGAGCAGATTTTGTTCAGCCTGAGAACTTCACTGCGAGGGGTTCTACGGTGACGTGAACAATCTCTTATTAGGCCTAAAGGGAACTTTTATTGCCTAAATGGTGTGAAAAACTCTCTGCGGTTGTCAGGGCACAAGGAAAAATAATAATAAAAAGGCAACATGAAGCTAATGCCAAAACTTTTCTATAGCGCTGTGACTTCCTTTGGCGTGTTTCCCAGCCACTTTGTTTTTATTGAGTTCTTCTTTACAGAGTCCTCTCAAATTGCCAGAAAATGTAAAGCCGCTTTAAGCTACCAGTGGGTTTACTGCTTGGCTGATTCTGGTGCCAAGTATCTCATGAGGACCGTTTCGATTTTTTTAGTTTCTGCTTTGAGACAAATTGTAAGCACATATAGTGGTTTTCAACTCATTGCAAAAGTCTTGAGTCATCCTTTTGTTTAATGACATTTTGCTTCCAAGTTTGTGGCTTCTTTTTCCCACATTTGAATCCCAGTATGTGCTACNGATGACCCACTATTTAATTCATAGTCCCTAAACATGTCCCCGAGTTTCTACACACGTTTTAAATCCAGACGTTAACATTAACCAAAACTGCAGACTCCTGACAGCCACTTAATACACTAACATATTAACGCTAAAATAACTGGTGCTCATTAAACCAAATTGGTGTTATAATTGTATTTGTTTTACCAAACTACGAAGCTTAAGGACTTGCCATGACACACAAAGTGAGATATAAAGGGAACGAGTCTACCGTTGGTCATCGGTGAGGAAGTAGCTGCGCTGCTGTTTTGATGCGGCTAACATTAGCTGCTAAGGCCTCCGACTCACAAACCTGAGCAAACCTGATTTGGTTCAACTGAAACCGTTACAAAGCGGGACTTATTTTAGCCTAATATTCAGACTCATTTCGTAAATGCATCAGTTAGCGACGCCACAGGCCCCAATTTATCGAAAGAAACACTCACCAGAGCAGTTTCTATCTTGTAAGATGTAAGCAACAACCGAGTCCGATCAATATATTGTTCCCCACAACTCCCCAAAGAACCGTTCCGCTTCGCGAAACCTTTCAGGGCATCACATAAAAACAACAATTACCTTTTAAACATTGCCATGTAAATGTAAACAATAACTCAGAAAATGAATTATTCATACTTTTTAGAGTTATGTTTAACAATAATTAAATCCGTTTGATGTTCTAGAAAACCATCCAATAAGTCTGCAATCTGTAATCAAACTTAAATCAAATGCCTACACCAGAAACATAGCACATTGTTATGTTTATTTTTAACAATGTGCACCACTAATTTTACAAACATCGTCTTATTTATGTTATTTATTTCTGGGTGAAAAATGTATGCTGTATTTACCACAATTTTCCCAACAGATGGAGACAAACACCAGGGGCCCCTCAGGCTGCTGGCTCTGTTGTGGTGCCAAATGAGAAAAAGCAGAACTGAGATCTCTAGTGTTCTGTTGCTGACTCTGTACGTTTGTTCTCTGAATGGATGAATAGAAATTTATATTTAAAAATATAAACTCTCAAATTATACCAAGATCATATAGGTAAAAAATGAAATAGTTGTTATCATATACACTGAACTGGCAGGGCCTGAAAAGGTACTTGGTATGTGGAGCTTAAAACAAAAGCAAACAGATTATTAAACTTAATATCCTTTGAAAAATGTGCCTTTCCTTTGTTGGACTTATTGTACAAAAGTCCACCACAGCTATATTCCTACTTCAGTGAATTCAAAACCAGTTAGTTTATTTTCTTAGTCTCTACAATCTTATACAATCAGGATTTTGGTGTTTGCT